TTGCTATTCCTTTTCTCTTTTTTTGATTTGGATATGGATATTTATAAGGTTGGAAAATACATGCAAAGTGCACTGTATTAAGCAACAAATACCAATGTTTTATAGCACCTTAAGGCCAATTTATTTTGGCATAAGTATTTCTTAACTTACTTCATTGATTCAGATAGATTTGCTCAAGTGGGAATAAGTCATACATCTGCCACAAGAAATACGTTTATCCTCTAGGTACAATGTGTCTTTGTTTTTATGCTGCATCATAAAACTAACCCATCTACTCCTTTGGGAAGACTCTGGGCACTGTACATGCTTCCTATCACCATCTATCTCCTACTCTAAAAATTAAAAGCAGGAGGAGAGTTTCTAGGAGAGCATTTTTTTTCTGACTTCTGCCTCTGTACCTAATTCATTCTGTTTTGGGAAAGTTTTTCTGTTGATGGACAGAAAGAGTTTTAAGCCTCTTTATTATTCTAACATTTCATTAGATTGGAAACAACAAAAGCAAAAGACTAGGCTAGTGAGTATGTACAGTAGTCGTATTCAACTTAGATTGTGCTGCTTCCAAATAAACTGATAATACTTTCTTGTGAAAGCAAATCTTGACTTTTGATTGATTGATTGTGGGCTGTCAAGTCTTTGTCACTGCTAGCAACCACACAGAAAGATTTTCTCCATGATGATCTGTCCCTAACCTACTCCTTCAGTTGTGCACCCTTTGCTGCTGTTAAGTATGTCCACTGTGCTGCTGGTTATCCTCTTCTATTCTTTTCTTCCTCCTTTCTTGCAATGCAGAGTAAGTAGAGTATTTGACAGAATGGCAATGGAGAAACGGTGAATCTTTTCTCAGGTCCTGTAGTCAACTGATTAATATGTAACCTAGAAATTGCCACAAGTAAGATGATTTCTTTGTGATTTGAACTAATAATTTCTTGATATTAGCTTGGCAGGAGAGTCTTCTCTTTCTCTGCAACCAGCAAACAAAAACAGAAGTTTGTTGGAGGCTGGAGAGAAAGACATTTCTGTCCATTCTTTGCCACATTAATGTGACAGGGGCATGGGAAACAAGGGACAAGGGAGTAGAAGCCACATGCTGGATAATAGTTGTCCCAACTCTGTTTATTGCCATCCTCCTGAAAATCTCAGGCTTTTTCCAGTTGGATTTAATCTACCAAATTTCTTCCTTTCAGACTGTCTCCATTCATTCTAGTAGCTTAGGCTAGCCATTAATCATCACAAGTATTTTTGCAGGCGTTTTGAAAAATGTCAGTATCTAAAAGCTTTGGAGAGGGGACTGTTTCTTCACCTGGGGGATAAAAAAACATATGATATTGCTACCAGTGTCACCTGAGGAGCTTGTATGGAGGTGGTCCTCATTATATATTGAGTTACAGTATTTGCCATGTATGATTGGAAAAATCAGAGTGATGCTATATTGATTTAAGGAGACTTCCATGACCTAGTTCATTTATCAGATTTTTATTTTTGAAAAATCAAATTTTTCAGGATCATGAAGTTCTTTGCTACCAAACCCACTTAAAATTTTGACTGCATGGCAGGTTTCAGTTACATTTTACCTTTTGATTGCCAGAAAGCAGCACAAGTTGTGAGATCCAGTCTCTCATTTGCCATGCTTAGGTGGATGCCAGGTGGTGCCTGGAAAAGAACTACTAAGTTAGTAGTAAGCTACTTCACCAAAGCAGAAGCTAAGGTCAGGCTTCTGGTATGAAAGATTGAAGACCTCCTGCCCTGCAGATTCGGCAGTCTGCTATAATCTGCAGAGCATCTAATACTGAAGATCATTTCAACTTTGCTGGAGGACTATTTCACCCATGCAAATATATTGGCGGCAGGGCCCACATAGCTTTCTGAAATTGCCATATCTGTTTGAAATATACAAGAGGTACATTTGAATCTTCTACCCCAGTGTTTCCCAAACTTGACAATTTTAAGGCAGGAGGACTTCAACTCCCAGAATTCCACAGCCAGCAATGCGGGCTGTGGAATTCTGGGAGTTGAAGTCCACATGCCTTAAAATTGTCAAGTTTGGGAAACACTGTTCTACCCCAACATCAAATCAGCAAAAACTTCTCATTCATTAAAGCAGGATAACATACGGTAGCAGGCAATATCAGGGAACTTGATGTAGTGATGGAAGTTTTTTTAAAATAATAACAATAACAACAACAATAAAAAATAGAATTAGAATAACAGAGTTGAAAGGGACCTTGGAAGTCTTCTACTCCAACCCCCTGCTCAGGCAAGCACTATATCATTTCAGACAAATGGTTGTCCAATCTCTTCTTAAAAGCTTCCAGTGTTGGAGCATTCACAACTTCTGGAGGCAGGTTGTTCAACTAATTAATTGTTCTAAGTGACAGGAAATTTCTCTTTGGTTAGTTTCCATCCATTGCTTGTCCTGCCTTCAGGTCCTTTGGAGAATAGCTTAACTCCCTTTTAATGGTTAAATATTTTATTTTACGAGATGGCTAGGATCTAGCAGACTTTGTTTTTAAAAATGTAAACTATTTCATTGTATGCTAATTTCAGTCTAATGAAAGCTTAACTGGTGAAGGCTGCTATTGATCCCAAATAAAGAATAAAAATGCATTTTGAAGTCATTGTTATATTACACATATAGCATTAGCTGTTTCTCTGCTTCTTAGCCATTTACAGTTTCATTTTGATTTTCAATGGCTTATTTTTGAATATCTATTCTGAACAAAAATAGTCATTTCTGTTCCATGAAAGTAATTTGTAAACGTATAAAAGTGGTAAGCATTTTTTAAAAAGCCATTTCCCCCCAAATCTCCAGATGTATACTGTTGATAAAAAGACCCAGTGATATTTTTTCTATGATCTTGACCTTGAGACCCAAATGGTAACTCTGTTATCTGTCATTTTAGTATTCCATGGTCATGAAAAGAATTGTAGCACATCTGAAGCAAGTGATTTATGCAGATATTGAAGATGAACATTACAATCCATAGATCTCCAATCTTAAATTTTCAAGGCTTCTGAAAATTTTTTCCCCTGTGAGATTAGGAGTGGTAGAATTTTGAAGTTATTGCTGACAATCAGACTTGATGCCATGGTGTTCTTCATGCTTCCAGGTCACTCACGTACTTTAGTTCTTCTTTGAACTTAAAAAGGAATTGTATATAACTTGTGAACTTCATTTCATGAAGGAAGGTGGACCAAAAGAGCAGAAAAGATCTTGATATTAAAGCTGGAAATAGGATAAAATTTAATTCAGCTGGCACCTCTTATTTACTAAATGCTGGGGGGGAGGGAGGAAGGGGAAACTTGCTTATATCAACTAAGAGTGGATATATCTAGCATCCAAACCACATCTATTTTTTTCATAAGTCAAGTGTATTCTACTTCATTCATTTTCTCCCGCCATTTTAAAATCACTAAGTAAATTATTACTAGAATTAAACACCCAGAAGAGTTTTATATAAAATGCAAGAAAGTAAAAAAAATAAAGGAAAAAGAGAGTGAGAGAGATGCATGTGGGACAATATTTGATAGAGAAACGATGAAAAATATAATCAATAGACATTTTCTAGAATACAAAGCATCACCTTGCAACAGGATGTGGCACTAATTTGTCCAATGTACTCTCCATAGAAGTTTTTAATCTTTCTTTTGGGGGGAGCCAGGTGGGGGGGGGGTTGAGAGGACAAAGCTTAGAAGTTATTTTTTCTGTGATGGCCCATGCCCATGGATTGGCCTCACTCCAGAGGTCAAGTTGGCATAAAACTCCCCTAGAGAGCTATTAGAGAATGAAGGAATGGGAACTCTTAGCTTGTGGATTAGACTTTAAATGTTTTCTGCTTTGATTGATATGTTTATTATATTTCTATTTCTATATTGTCATCCATCAGGAGTTTGTTATATAATTAGGTCAATATACAGTACAAAATTGATAAATGAACAAACACTACTCTATTTTTAATATTTTAGCTCAACATAGTTTGTGTTACCTTTGCTCAAGGATGCACTAAGAAAACTACATTCCCCAAAAATGGAAACACATTTTCTTTTTAGGTGTAACTTGTTATGTTTGAAGTTATTATGTTCTCGGTTGTGACTTTCAAACATTTGGCTTACTGCATTTATGATGCATTGCTTTAGCATTACATTGACTTGTTTTGTTATTTTTAAATGTGTAATGTCACTGCTTAATGTTCCTGCCATTATTGATATTTTGTATTTTTAAATTACAATATTATTACTCCTGGAAGGGTCTTTGATGGTGCATAGAACAGCTTGGTTCTTCTGTTTTAGGGCAAGGGAAAAAAAGGGGGGTATAAGGGGTATAAGGTATAAGCCTTCCTCAGGCTTTCTATCTGGGCCTTGTAAAAATATTTATTAGTCTGAGATTTGATAGGTCAGTCTTTATGAGCAAGAGATAAATTCATTCATTACAGATGAATTAGACTTTTAATTCATATAATTCCAAGCACACCTTTCTCTATATGTCTAGGAATTATGGCCTCTGGAGCTGATCAGGGTAGGTTCCTTCAACTACTTATCTTGAATCTTTGGGCAAATCTCTATCTCTCATTTTAAACTTTAAATAATGTTTTGGAGCCAGGCTGTCTGAAAGACCATCTTTCTTCCATTATATCTACCCGGCCCACCAGAACAGGAATGTAGAGTATTAGGGATCTACATCTGGCGGGACCATGTAAAGTGTCTTGTTGATGGTGGCTCCTCCCTATGGGGCATAGGGAGATACAATTGCCCCCTCCCCCGTTGCTTTTTTGAGAGATGCCAAAGACATAGCTGTTCAAAAGGCCTGGAGATCCCAAATGGAGAGAGAACCGATTAAGTGGCTGATCTGGTGGTATTGTTGGGAGGGAAGGGGGGCTATGGTTTTTATGTTGTGGTTTCTAATGTAAGCCGCCCAAAGTCACCTGTGTATGAGTAGGGCAGCCATGTAAATTTGTTTACTACATAAATAAATAAACAAGAAAATGTCTCTTTGCTCTCTTCAGGTAACTATGTATATTGGTCAAGTCATGAAAGATCTTCTGAAGTGGCCTCGTCCTCATTCACCACCTGTTGTCAAACTAGAAAAGAAGACTAATGCAGAATATGGAATGCCATCCACACATGCAATGGCAGCCACTGTAATCTCTTTCACTTTTGTGTCTGTGACTGCAAACCAGTACAAGGTAGGAAGCAGCAATTCTGATTTAATCTAGTCAAGTTGCATAAACAAATTTCATTGCCTTATTTGGTCAAATACCAGTCCTTCCATTTTAAGCCTCAAGTATTTCAGTGGCATTAGCCCCATTTTTGTTTCATCCTCTTCCTTTTTGTGTATTGTTCTTCGTCACAGTCATAACAAACTTTTCACTGTGGCTGAGAAAAGTCATTCCTAGGAATATGGAACTATTTTACATCCTCAATCACATTTCTGTAAAATTAGGATCTTTTGTCCCTTTTTTATCACAGGGGATGGGCACTACTTGGTTAGTCTTTCAGTTGTGGAGATATTTCTTTAGAATTCTTCATTTAGCTTGGGATGCGTTGGAGGCTTCTTTTGGAATGGAATCACTTGATATTATCTACAAAAAAAATTCACCATCTATCATCTTCAGGTAAGTCATCCAAATAAGGCCCCTGGGAAGTCATTGTCTGAGTTGTTTCATCTTAGGTTTAGGACAGGAAGATTCTAATTCTTTACATTTATGGTATCCTCAAGCTAAATTGTGGATGGACTGTTTTCTGTTAGGTGATTAATAAATATTTTATTAACATTCTTTTCCCTTATATTTTTAGTATCCACTTGAACTTGGACTGTTGGGAGCCTTCTTATTTTCATCTCTGGTAGGCCTCAGCAGAATTTACACAGGAATGCACACAGTGCTGGTAAGTTTTTACCTTGGGTAACTGTTAGGAGATTAGAGGCAAGAAAGACAAATCATGAAATGCTTATGATGCCATCATTACTTAAATTACAGAATTTTGATGCAAGTCCATAATTGTGCAGTTATTGTGATGATATCATCATGTGTATGTCATCATTTAGGAGTCATTATGGTTTGCAGTAAATATTACTGAGTCTCTCTATATTACTCCTAATGATATGCCTATGTTGGTTGTTGATTTTTCCTTCCCTGCAATGTCAGTATAAATGGACAAATATATATAATAAATGATTAATAAAAATAATAATTTCTAAAACATAGTAGATTTTCCTTCTTGAAAAAATATGTAGTTAAATTTCCAGAAGCAATTTATTTTTCTTCATTTTCTCTCATGCCTCTCCTAAGCTTTCCACTTAAACAAGCCCAAGGAATTCTAGCTTGATGTCTTCATAAACCAGGATTTGAAAATCAAGAACAAATAATAATTTGGTATTCTGTGTCTCAAAGGAACAATAAGCCAAAATCCCCAGCTTGTTACTCTATAGCAGGCATGTCAAACCCTCTCTCAATCCAGCGTATCACTGAAAAGTTGGGGGAGACATTAAGAATAGGAAGGGCTATGGATAGAGCAGCAAAGTATAACAGCAAAGTTAAATACAAAGCACTAAGTTAATTTTGTTTCTAATACAAGCTCAAAGAATCTGTAGACATTTCTCAAATCTGAACCTAAATAATAGAAAATTTGTTTCTTCATGATTCAAGGCTTTGCTCACTTTATATGCCTTTAGGTAGTGTCTAACACTGCCATTTGAACCTTTACTTTTCTTGAAGTGTGATCTAATCAAACTGGAAAAAATTATGAAATAAAGCTCCATTATTTTAAAACATCTTGTTTGCTACATAGTGCGGCTCTAATTGAGTGCATTTATTGAGAGTTAGACTTAATGTTATTTACGGGATGGGAAGAAAAACTCAAGACATTTTAATGATAATTTCAGCTTACTCATATAAGCATCTTAAATAATTGTAGCCGCTAATGGCTACATTTGTTTATTCATTACTATGAATTCTGATGGAAACATCTTGACCTTACTAGATCAAGACATCTAGTTTAGAACAGAGAATTCTCTCTTCCCCATTATAGAACTTAGTTATCCCAATTAGTCAGTCAATCAGTTAAAATTCTCTGCATATTTTTTTTCAGTATGTGATGATAGAAAAAAAATACTTCTTTAAAACATGAAGAAACTGATTAAAAAAGAAATTTGTTGGTTGTCTTAAAGAGCATCATGACCTTAATGAAATTATATGTCAAATTATCTCAGTAACTTACAATTCTGTGAATAGTAAGAAATGAAATTAAAGATAAATGAATAAATGTTTTGCAGTTTGCAGCTACTTATATATATAACGTGTTAATGTGGTCATGTTTCTAGAATAAAATACTACGTTTATCTCCAAAAGTCTTAACTAGAATTTTCTGATTAGTTCAGTAGTTTCTTTTCTCCCACCCGAGTATGACCCAGGCTTTTTCTGACAAAGGAATAACAATCTTTTGCACTCCTGGTTACCATTAAATAATATGATAGCCCATTCCCCTCTCACCACCTAAAAATCTTATGAGTTCTTGCTACAAATTACTAATCTCATAAAATTTCATTACACGGGAGAATAAGAAACATGGGAGTAGTTGGAGGTAAAGAACACACTCTGGTGCCAGGGACAGCAAAGTTCTTGATCTGCGTGTCATGTATAATTTTCTTTGGCATTCAGTTGAATGAATGGAGAGCTTCAGAGTGGGAGAATGGAATACGAGCGTTGGTGTACCTTTTTCTGTTCCTGAATTCCATGTAATCAGCCAGAGTTATGAGGAGACTGTATTCAAGTTTTCATGAGATGCAATATGCTATCAAAGCAGAATCCCAGGATATAAAATGTATTCAGATTCAGATTCAAAATGTTTTCCAGAAGGGAAGACGATAGAGTTGTGTGGGTGGCCTATTTTCTACTTTCTTTTTGAAGCCGTCCATGTGTTTACATACATGCCTAAATCCAGCCTTTCTGCATTGTTATATTCATTTTCTCTGTTCCAATTTAAGTTATTTCCAAAGTGGTTTAAATTTAAATTTAACCAGTTTACACACATAAGTAAAAGTAAATTCTCCCAAATCAAACTTGACTCCTGATTTTTACACAAACACATTTGTGAGGTTTTCCTAGAGTCAGAAATGACTTTCTATCACCTTTTTCTAGGATAGTTTTCAATTTCCTAGTTTAGCAGGGATTTCTTCCTGTCAGCCATTCAAGTAGTAACCCAGTTCAAGCTAAACATCTAAAAGGATAATATAAGACAATGCTACTGGATGTATAGCACAGTGGTTCTCAACCTTTTTAATGCCGCGACCCCCAACCGTTCGTAAGTCGAGGACTACTCAACCGGTTGTAAGTCGGGGACTACTCAACTGGTACAGCACTGTTTGCAGAATGGGACTTTTGGCGGGCTCAGCAGGGCAGAGACAGCCTGGACAATTCCTATTGGCTTTTTTTTTTATTGAAAATTTTTTAAAATTTTTACAAATAGGGAAAAGAAAAAACAAAAAACAAAAAACAACCCTACCCAACCACCCCAACCCTCCCACTCCATCTCCCCAACCTTCCCAGAGCTGAATATAGGCTTAATTAAAATTTCTAAAGATCTTAAAAAGAAATTAAAAAAGTATAAACCATAAATATATCTAAATACATTACATAAGCTTATGAGATAATTAAAAATAATATATATGTAAAAAAGAAAAGCATAAATATTAAAAAAGAAAAATGCTTAAAAAAAAGAAAAGAGAAAAGAAAGAAGAAAAGATGTATATATATATATAAAAAAAGTAAAATAAGATAAAATAAAAATAAGAAGTATAAGGAAAGAGAAGAAAAAAAATACAATCTATAAAATATTAAGATTTATATATAAGTTATTAAAAAACTAAATAATATTTTTTTATATCCAACTTATGTTGTATAAAATCTATCTATTTTTCCCATACCGCAAAAAACTTCTCTTGCAATTGATCCTTTAAAAAAGCCGAAATCTTTGCCATTTCCGCCAAATAAGAAACTTTAAAAAACCATTCTTGTAAAGTAGGCAAAGATTCCTTCTTCCAGTATTGCCCTACTAACAGCCTTGCGGCTGTAATTAAATTTAACATCAGTATAACCTCCTTAACATCACAATCAGTAACGATACCCAACACAAACAAATTCTTTGAATATTCCACCATATCTTAATCCAAAATGCTTTTATATTTTTACACGACCACCAAATATGATAATAAGTAGCATCCAAACAACCACATCTCCAACATTTAGGCTGTAAGTCAGGATACATACGAGACATTTTTTGTGGATCAAGGTGCCATCTATAAAACATTTTGTAAAAATTCTCCCTTAAGTTCTGGGCTTGTGTAAATTTAACATTCCTCACCCAGATGGTTTCCCAGGTATCTAGTAGAACTGGTTCACCAAAATTTTGTGCCCATTTAATCATACATTCTTTAATTAATTCTGGTTCTGAATCCAGTTCTACTAGCACCCCATAGATTCTCTTAATATGAGTTCGCCTTTGGTCTTTTACTTGTTTAAAAAAATTTTCATCTTCCCTAAGCAAACCCATATTACGATCTATCTTCCATCTATCCACTATTTGTCTATACCGAAACCATGAATATGTAATATTTTCGTGTGCTAAATCTTCCAAAGATTTTAACTGCCAATTTTTACCATCCCATCTGAGTAATTGTGCATAAGAAACACTATCCATCTTAACTCCTCTCCTTATCCCCTCTATCGCATGCCAAGGTATAGCCCATAATGGTATTTTAAAATCACTTTTATAATATTTCCTCCAAACCCGAAGTAAAGAAATCCTTATAATATGAGATTTAAAAACCCGGTCAACTTTTTTATTAAAAATTAAATAGGCATGCCATCCAAAAAGTAAATCCCAACCCTCCAAGTGAAGTATTTCTACATTTGTTAAATTAACCCAATCACTAAGTAATGTTAAAACCACAGCATCATAATACAATTTCAAATTCGGTACCTTGAGTCCACCTCTCTCACGAATATCTTGCATAATTTTAAGCTTTACTCTTGGTTTTTTCCCTGCCCAAATAAATTTATTGATGCCTTTCTGCCATTCATTTAAGTTAACCTTATTCTTTAAAATAGGTATCATTTGAAATAAAAAAATAAACTTTGGCAGGACATTCATTTTAATCACAGCAATTCTTCCCATAAGGGATAATTGCAACTTCTCCCAATTTTTCAAATCTCTTTGTATCCTGACCCACAACCTTTCATAATTATTTTTATACAATTTTACATTAGAAACAGATAAAGTGACCCCCAAATATTTTATCTTATCAACAACTTCAAAGTCTGTCAAGTTAACCAGAGTCTGCTTATCCAAATTAGTCATATTTTTGGGTAATATTTTAGTCTTATTATTATTAATTCTAAATCCCGAAACCCGTCCATATTGGTAAATCAATTGTAACAACTCTACTACAGAATAGGTAGGTTGAGACAAAGTAACCACCAAGTCGTCTGCAAAAGCTCTTAGTTTATATTCTTTTTTATTAACTTCTATTCCTTTTATTTCCTGAGATTCTCGAATTTTAATCAGCAGAATTTCCAAAGTTAAAACAAACAGTAGTGGTGACAATGGACATCCCTGTCTTGTCCCTTTTTCTATTGTAAAAACCTCTGATAAACCCCCGTTGACTATAAGTTGTGCCGTTTGTTTTTGATATATAGCACCAAGAGCTTGTAAAATTTTTTCTCCAAAATTCATATCTTCAATTAATCTTAACATAAACTGCCAACTCAATTGGTCAAAAGCTTTTTCAGCATCTAAAAATATCAGTCCTGCAGAAACTTGATTATTCTTATCTAAATATTCTAATAAGTTAATAATTTGTCTAACGTTATTCTTCATATACCTACCAG